TCGGACACGTGGTTTCCAGTTGATAACTATTGAGTACTGCGTAAGTTCATACCATTATGGACGCCGCATGTGAAGGTAAGTAGAAAAATGTTTATTAGGGGTTGTAATTGTTGTGCTCGTACATTTTGGAACGGTACAGTATTTATAACAACCTTTTTTTCTTATTTCGGTCATAACCGATCGTATATGCAGTCAACTAATTAAACAAATTGGGGCGGAAGACGTTTATGCATGCATGTGTTTAGTAGATTGAGTCGGCTCGGGCCCAGGAATCGGCCGCGGGCGTTGCAACTGGATACTGAAGTCTGAAGTGTGACGTCACACGTAACGTACAGACGAAATAAAAATATTCTCGCGGGGCGCAGCTTTGAATTTTCTCACTATTGTTTCATTTTTCCTAAACTTTCATTTGACCTGGTAACAAAAAAATGGTGAACTTGTCCATTTACCATACATCAATCTGCGACGAAAGAAATAAACGTTAAGTAATCATTTTTAAGCAGTTATCGTTAATTTTGTTTTGTTTGTTTTATATTCTTTTAAATAAAGCCTCTTTTGGTTCATTATTTTTGTTGTCCTAATTAAAAAAATACTTAGAAATAATCCTGTGTTTGAGTTATTGGAGTTAGAAAATCATATTTTTTGCACGTTCTACGCACTGTGTAATAAATTTCCTGTTAAGGCGGTTCCCATATTAGAATAGATCGTAAAACTCAACATAGTAATTTTTCTAGTTAATCAGCCCGTAGATTTCACAGGGTGTCGCATATGACGGAAGGCTCATTTCTAATGTCAATATCTCAAAAAAAGTTGAATTCAGACATGGACGCTCACACATAAAAACTGTTTAAAATCCTAGGGAAAATCTTAACATACAAAAATAAAAAGGATCTTCCATTAAAAAAATTGTCACTTTTGGGCTACCCTGTATATCAAAAAAATACATAATCTATGCTACTCCGTCAAATCTTTGACCCACCCTGTACAACCAGTCTTCTAACTTTTAAATTAACTTTTCTCGAAACTTACTTTTTGTTACATTCATATTTTCCCCTGTTAAAATCTAGTAGGCATCTAGTTGACGGAAATATGGCATGTTATGTCAGTGTCAGATTATTTTCAACAGCAAGCTTCATACAGTTTAAATTGATAAGTAATGTTTGAGTTTATTTTTTATTGTTAATTTGCCAGTCAACTATGGGACAGGATTCAACATGCTGTAAATACATTAAGGAATAATGACATCTTGGAGAAAGCTTACTATAATTTTTTGTTTATTGTTATGAGCAGGAACGAAAATTGTGGTGATATTGAGCACCTTTTATTGGAAGATATTGCCTGTGTTAAATAAAATTGTAATAAGTAATATCATGCTTGTCTATTTTCGCTAACTACACTTAAACAATTGACAAAATGCTTGGAAACGTATTGATGCAACTATTTTTTTTCAAATTTCGCAAATCGGGCTATCGGTTTTTAAAATATCTTAAGAAATGTGTTTCAAAAAGAAATCTTTGACGCGCTCTAATGAACAATCCAATCCACGGAATATTGGGACACCCTCTATAGCAAATAGAGAAACAGCTGTGAAAGTTCTCATGGATAACGCTTCGGTATCTCAATCTATATCAGATATTTTTTGGGGCGTCGAAATATAGCATCATACCCTATTTCACGAGTATCCATCACGGCAGAACGACAGCTGATTATCTAGTAAGTAAAATTCCCCATATCGGCACAGGACACACAATTCTGACGGATCCGTCAACGCCAGATAGTCAGAGCCGAATTTTGTTTTGGTTTTTTATACGCTACATATTCATCCTGTACTTAGTAGCAGTTTTATTTATAAAAGTTCATTTGTATTCAAAAAACAAATCGCCACAAAAAAGTTTTACCAGATTTATACCCGATCCATTATTGAAAACTTTGCAGACTAACACAAAAATGTCACTTGCTGATCAGCTGTTCACCTCAGTAGACGTCAAAGCGTGATGGATACTCATGAAATAGGGTATAGGTTATCTGGCTTCTGGTAGAATACGTTAATTATGGTTACGTGTAAATCCTCTCGCGAAGAAATCATCAGAAAACACTAATCGGACATCGCGAGGCGTGCATCGTGAATGTTTTGTCTCGCATGCCTCAACCTGAGGCATTCGTCAGTAAGAAAAATGGATCCGGCAAGGCGAGAGGTGCATATTGCAGACTGTTGTGATATTTGACGCCATGCGTCTTCCCTTTTACATTTATTGTAATAATCAGAATGTTTAGAGTCCCATAACACTCTGGTATTTTCATAAAGTTGGACATGTTCACGCAGAGATTCGGTATCGGTCTCTATGACGTATGAGCGCGCAACGCAAATAACACCCGAGGCATGCGAGACTCACAATTCGCGACGCACGCCGCGCGATGTCTGTATGCGCCTTTAAGCGTAGCGTGGCGTCAAATATCACAACAATCTGCACCTCTCGCCTTGCAGGAGCCATTTTTCTTACTGACGAATACAGTGCGTGTGTTTTTGCGTGAGCATGTGTCGTTCGGGACGCGTGCATAAATGTATACTTTATCTGAAGTCACTTGAAACACTGTGAAATACCGGGTGCGTTTTATATATCAATATTTAACACGCTCTGTTGTTGCAAAAATCGCCAAATTTCGCAGCAAATATCCCCCGTATAAGATCAAAGGCAGTTTCACCGGTCCACGTGGAGTAAAGCACGCCTATGCGTGGACATAGCCAATGAGAAAGCGTGTATTTCAGAGCTCCGAACAAGTGCAGGTGGCTACTGAAAATTGAAACAGTTTAGCCAGTGACGTGTAGCGGTGAATAAACGTGTTTTCTTTAGTCTGTCTGTGTTTTTTCATAGATTTTATTAGTTTGTGTGTTTTTGACTTTTGAATACTCAGTTTACTTGTTGATTTAATTGTTGTGTTGATTGTTCTTGTGCGTCCTAAATATGGCTCTTTGGAGACCTTGGGAAAATGCTCCAAGCCACGAGGAGATGGTTGATGAACCTGTGCAGGCAGAATTCTTTCATAAAGATGAGGAACAGACCCAAAGAGTAATCCTAAATATGTATGATTGTCTGAAAAACGAAAATCCAGATTCCTCGCAAAATCAAATTTTAAACAGAATTTGTATCCTGACAAAAATCAGTCGGTCTACCATTTATCGGGTTATAAAAAGGGGAGATGTAGTCAACCAATCCTTCCACAGAAAGCGCATAGGGCAAAAATTAAAAAGAATAGACGTGGGTTTTCAGGAAGATATTCGTCGTATAATATACGGATTTTATAAAGAAAATTTGGTGCCCACGTTGGAAATGATACGGGATAAATTAAAAGATTATCCTGAAGATTTTTATAATTACAAATGCTTAGACTCACTGCACTGTATTGTAAAACTGTGTGGTTTTCAATACAAAAAATTAGATAAAAGAATGGTGATTATGGAGTCGTCTCGAATCGTTGAATTGCGCCAAGAATTTTTGCACAAAGTTAAAATCTATAGAGAGCAGAAAAGAAATCTGATTTACCTGGATGAAACGTGGTATGATACCCATGATGTTGTGCAGTACGGCTGGGTTGACGACAGCAACAAGTGCATTTTAAATGCACCATGCAACCGTGGAAAACGAATCATTATTCTCCATGCTGGCAGTGAAAATGGATTTATACCTAATGCCTTGCTGTTATCTGCCAAAAATATCAAAGAATCATGTGCTGACTATCATGAGGACATGACCTCCGACTTATTTGAAAAGTGGATAGAGCAGCAGTTAATACCAAACATTTCCCCAAATTCAGTGATTATTATGGACAATGTGCCATACCATTCCCGACAGAAAAACAAAATTCCGAATACAGGCACAAAAAAACAAGACATTATTGATTTTATGAAGGATAAGGGAATGGAAATACCACAAAAATCAACCAAAGCCATATTATTGGATCTTATTAAAAGACAAAAATTTGAAAAAGAGTATGTTGTTGACAATCTGCTTCAGCAAAATGGCCATGAAGTATTACGTCTACCTCCCTATTACTGCATTTTTAACCCGATTGAGTTGGTCTGGGCTGCTTTAAAAAAAAAGTAAGAAAACATAATCAGACCCCTCAATTAAGTGAATCGCTATTGGCCACAATAAGAGATGCAGTATCTCATATTGCTGCCACAGACCTATGGAAGCAGTGTTCTAGGCATATTATTGAAAAAGAAAATGAATATTGTGTTTTGCCTCCTGTAAATCCCGTTGTAATTCCTCTACAAGATGACTCTAGCGACAGCTCCGAAGGCGAGGATGATATATAAATACCTATAATGTGAGTCTTTATATACCTTTTTATATACCTACCTGCTATGTAAATATTTGCCTATGTTAAACGTTGGAATTCTGTAATTTTTTCATTTCTTAATTTTCAGTCAACATAAATTAAACTCCCAATATAAGTATTTTTTATCCCAAATCAAAAAAATAAGAAGATAGTAAAATCCATTTATTGTGATATAAAAACATTATTATTATCGTTCTAAATAAATGACCGCACGCCTATGATACCTCATGAAATTACAAAGGACGCGCCGACCAAAGGTTTTTATGCTATTTCAAGTGACTTCAGATAAAGTATACCGTCGTATGCCTCAGGTTGAAGCATGCCAGACGAACCTTAGGCAACAGCGGTGGCCGAAGTAGTAGACTCTTCGGTCTCCTGATCAGTCGCCGTGCGCTGTGGGGGTTCGAATCTCGTCCCAGGAGAAATTTTTCTCTTAGCTATGGATGTTGTGATTGTCCGTAGGTGGTAGACAGTCTCTGACTGTCGAACGCGGAGGTACCACCCGGCGGATCTCGTAGGCAGAGCCAGAATGTGTGCATGTTGAGGTAAATTTAGAGGGGAGGAGGCAATTTCTGAAAATCTCCCAAATTGTAGATAAAATCATGCTAAATATGAAAATGTTAAGGGACACATGGTCCCTCCTAGATCATTTTACTTACCTGTTGTTGACCAGACTGTTGACCTTGACCAGACTGTTGTTGTACTCCAGACTGTCCCGTAATCTGCAGAGGCAACTGCAACTGTTGAAACGGAAACTGTGGCAGAATCGTCGGTTGAAACAACGGAGGAACCCCTTGATAAATCAACTGAATAGGCTGTTGCGTCGGAGGTTGAACAGTCTGTTGAACAGTCTGTGGCGTGGCTTGTGGTGCAGGCTGTTGCGGCTGTTGAGATTGAGACTGTTGAGGTTGTTGGGACTGTGTTTGGCCCTGTAGTTGTGGCTTGAGTGCTCGAGGTTGTTGGTTGGAAGCTTGTGTGTCCAGAAGTCGTTCTATGAACATTAGGATTGGTCGTAGACCTGGAGCGCCTCTTGATTGGTCATTGTTTTGACGGGATTGGCTGCTGACTAGAGCTGCTTGCAGGATGAGGGGGATAAGGAGAAGTTTCAACATTTTTCCTGGAACAATATGTGTATGTCAGTAAGTTGAAAGACCTGATCAACTATTTTGCAAGTGACAATATTGTAAGTGCAAGGTCATTTATTTTAACTGCTTGTAGGACTCATCAAAAGGAGTTGATATACCCAAAATCACCTATATAAAAGTTGCATCATAAGAAAAACAGTAAAAGATTAAAATTTTAAAAAAATAAGAACGTTATTACACAGATTTTTTGATATTCTCGACCACTGCCGTGTAAAATCTTAGCGTTTTTGTTTACTATTCTTAACGTTTATCTAAATTTGGCAAACTTTTTGTGTTATTGTATGGTTTTCAGTACGAATCTTTGGTTCGATCAGTTGTATCAGTATTTTGGTGCAAAAAAATGCCCCATGTTTACGAAAACAATGAACTAGTGGACATAATACTAACATACGGAAAGTGTCAATAAGATGCAGCCGCAGCATGTAGGTTGTATGCGGAAAGGTTTCCTTTACTAAATCATCCGGCCTCCATGGATGTTTGTAAATTTAGTTATTAGACTTCGTGACACAGGATATTTAAAAGAACAACGAGTAGGTCACGCTGGAAGATCTGCTCCACCTGAAATGTTACAAATTGAGGAAGACGTTTTGATGGAATTAATTTTGTGTACAGACGAGGCCACGTTAACACGAAATGGAGTGCACAATTTTCACAATTTTGGGCAGTGAAAAATCCACATGCAGTAAAAAGATCTCATTTTCGACGTAGATTTTCATTAAATGTTTGGGCTGGCGTGGTAAATGGCATGCTTTTTGGACCCTACTGTTCTCCACATCGACTGACCGATGAAATTTATTTAGATTTTCTTCGACAAAATCTGCCCCAATTATTAGAAGATGGTCCTCTGAATCTGGGACAGAATTTGTGGATCCTACATGATGGGGCTCCACCACATTTTAGACGAGCAACTCATGAACATCTAAATAATATAATAATAGGACATAACAGAACCACTCACTTACCTAATCAACAAATGCTTTGAATCTGGCATATATCCCTCAATTTTAAAAAAAGGTAATATGATACCGATACATAAATCAGGAACAAAAACAGATGTTAACAACTATAGACCAATATCAATAATATCCAGTGTAGCAAAGGATTTTGAAAAAGTTTTATCTACTAGAATGATTCGATACCTCACAAAATTCAAAATTTTAAGTGAAAATCAATGTGGATTTACAGAAGGGAAGGCTACATCGGACGCAATAACTAAAATTGTAAATCAAATACATCAAAATATTGATAACAGAATCCCTTCAATCTGCATTTTTGTTGATTTAATAAAAGCTTTCGACACAGTTAATCACAAATTATTATTAGAAGCGTTGGAGAGAATTGGTTTCAGAGGAAACGCGTACTCACTGATCGAAAATTATTTGTCAAATCGCCCACAATCTGTGCAGATATCAGGATCGTTTAGTGAAGAAATGTATATTAAGTGTGGTGTCCCACAAGGAACTGTCTTAGGTCCGCTGTTATTCAATATATATTTAAATGATATTTTCCAAATTAATTGTGTTGGCAAAATAACCAGTTTTGCAGATGATACTGCAATATTATATTAAGGCACTGACTGGTCTGATCTGAAAAATGTAATTGAAAATGATTTTATCAAAATTATTCGGTGGTTTAACAGTAGAAAATTAAGCATTAACTATTCTAAAACACATTTTTTACCATTTGGATCTTAGGCTAGACATCTGCCAAATTACACAAATTTCTCCTTCAACATTAATGATCAAAAAATGCAAATTAATAGAGTGCCTAACATAAAATATACTAAGTGACATATAAATCCGAACACCCAGTATAAATGGTTTTATTTTAATAAAAGTTGGTGAATGTATTTATCTTACTGTAAATAACAAGTGAAAAAATTTTCAGCCTTATCAGTTGGACATTCCGGTTTTTATACTGCTTTTTTTTAATTCACTAATGCTCTATAAAATGAATATTTCAGCCGCAGTAAAGAATCAACGTTGGCGGATTTTGGTTCTTGACATCCTTTACGATCGGTTACGATGCCTAGAGTACGGAGACCTGTACGATTTCGTCAACTTAGTGAGTTTGATAGGGACCGTATAGTGGGACTTCGAGAAGCTGGACTTTCTTTTCGGGCAATTGCAGTTAGAGTGCAAAGAAGTGTAGACACTGTGGTTAGGTGTTGTCAGGCATGGGTTTGAGAAGGCCGTACGCAAAGAGCAAGGGGCACTGGACGCCGCCGTAGAACAACAGACCGTGAAGATCGCCGCCTAAGGTTATTGGCCTTAAAGGACCGTTTCTCCACTACCAGGCCCATTGCAAATGAATGGTTTGCAGAACACGGAAGACCTATTGGCATGCGAAGTGTTTACCGACGAATGAGAAGTTTTGGCTTGTTTTCATACCGGCCACACTGGGTCCTCCCTTTAACTCGAGAACACAGACGTAATCGCCTTGAGTGGTGCAGACAACGGTCACTCTGGGATCAGGAATGGAACAGTATTGTCTTTAGTGACGAGTCTCGATTTTGTATAGGCATGCACGATGGTCGTGCCAGGGTTAGAAGGCGACGGGGTGAAAGGAGGAATCCACAGTTTTTTGTTGAAAGACATGTTCATCACACTGTTGGAGTTATGGTTTGTGGTGCTATAGCTTATGGTTCCAGATCACCTTTAATCTTCATCAGAGGTAACATGAACGCGCAGCGTTATATCCACGAAGTTCTAGAACCCCATCTTTTACCCTATCTTGACACCCTGGCAGATCCAACTTTCCAACAAGATAATGCCCGACCACATGTTGCAAGAGTCACAATAGACTTCTTTCAACATAATGATGTCACATTGTTACCATGGCCACCAAGATCTCCCGACTTATCCCCAATTGAGCACGTGTGGGATATAATGGGTAGGAGATTGCTTAATTTGCAACGTCCTCCTCAGACTCTAGAAGCACTTCGAGAGGAGTTGGTGGTTGCCTGGAATGAGATACCACAGGAGGACATTGACCACCTGATCAAAAGCATGTCTAGGCGCGTTGGAGAATGCGTAGCACATCAGGGTGCATCCACACATTATTAAAGGTCAAAGGGCTTTAAAGCAGTGCAATCATTTTGAAATTTTTATCATTTACTTATTATGCTTCACTAAGTACTTATACAAAATTTTATTAAAATAAAACCATTTAAACTGGGTGTTCGGATTTATATGTCACTTAGTATACCTAGGAGTGGTCTTGGATCCTCACTTACGATGGGAGATCCATGTCAATTATATTTTAAAAATTAAATACCTTGGGAATATATTGACAAAAAAATATCTTCGAACATTATACCATGCACTGATTGAGCCTCATCTCACATATGGTATATTAGCATGGGGAGCTGCATGTTCCTCACATATCTATAATTTAAATGTTTTTCAAAAAAGTATTCTAAAAATGATATTTAAAAAACCGAAACTTTATCCCACTGACAAATTATACGCAGATGTTCGACAGCTTTATTTCTTACACAGTATCACTCACTACCATAAATTTGTAAACACCGACCAAAAAATTAAACATAATCATTATACAAGGTACAAAATTCGTGGCACAGTAGTTCCTCAGCCGCATAAATCTATAATGCAGCGATCATATCTCTATTTAGCGCCTAAATTTTATGAAATTATACCTAAAGACTTAAAGATTTACGTTTCGGAAATTGTTTCAAAAGACATTTAAAAAAGTGGGTACATTCGATATCTAGGACTGAAATTCATAAACTCATAAATACGAACATCATGTAAATACATAATCTACTGTAGCTGATTTTTTCCTTTTTTGTCATTTGCATTCTACAGTTGCAATTAAAATTATTGGTCCATGTACACATGCCTTCTATTGGGCCTGTTTTGATTTTATATTTATTTACTCATATTGTTTGTTATCTTTGTACATTGAGTGGATAAATATTATTATTATTATCATAATGAGTTTTCAAATAGATGGCTAGGGCGCAATGGACCCATGACTTGGCCTGCTCGATCCCCGGATTTAACGCCTTGCGGTTTTTTTCTGTGTGGATATTTGAACAACTTTAACAGCGCACTGAAAATGCTTGTGATTCAGTTCGTGGACACCAGGATTTTATTTTCGAAGCTTGGAACGAGTCGTGAATTCGCCGAGCAAGATTTTGCATTAATCGAAGAGATGGGGACAGTTTTGAAGAGTTCTTGTAAAAACGGTATCCATTTAACTTGACAATGATTTTTTTGAATAATATTTAATAATGTACACTAACTCTCTTATTATGCAACTATTATATAAGTATTTTTGCTTTATCAACTTCTTTTGACGAGTAGTACAAGCTGTTAAAATAAATGACACCCAACACCAACACCCTGTATATTTACGGTTGAGATTATGGGAAAGAGATTAACAAAGAGCAGAGGTCTTCACTCTCTGAGAACACAGTAATTCAGTGCAATTACATGCTTCTAAAACACAATATTCTACCTCCACTAATAAGGGGATCTTATTAATGGATCTTTTTACCAATTTACTAACGAACATAACCAGTCCGGCTGGGGTATTATGTAAAAAACCTAAAAAAAAAACGACAAAATGTCATCTTGCAGACTAGCTAGTTTTTAGTGTGCAAATTGTTCATTCCACGCCTGCTCGCTATGATCGCTGTGAGCGTCTATCTAAGGAGGAATGACTCAACGACACGACACGCTGAAGTATGTATACTAAGTGACATATAAATCCGAACACCCAGTTTAAATGGTTTTATTTTAATAAAAGTTGGTGAATGTATTTATCTTACTGTAAATAACAAGTGAAAACATTTTCAGCCTTATCAGTTGGACATTCCGGTTTTTATACTGCGTTTTTTTAATTCACTAACGATCTAAAAATGACTATTTCAGCCGCAGTAAAGAATCAACGTTGGCGGATTTTGGTTCTTGACATCCTTTACGATCGGTTACGATGCCTAGAGTAC